ATCCTTCACCGTGTTCTACCTTTGAAGAAATAAAGCTAGCATAATAATTCTTAGAATTACTTGGAAAAAACAATATAGTAAAAAGTTTCATTTTGAAGACAGAATTAGACATTTTATAATAAAGCTCCAACATGTCAAGATAATATTGTAGACACAATTGATGGCTGTTCAGAGGCTATATTATTGCTACTGAGTTTTGGAATGTCAGAACTAGTGTTTAACTGCAAAACTATTTCTAGTATGATGCTTTTAAATTTGTTATTTCTTATATTACATTATTTTCAGGCATAATCATTTTTTTCCAGGTTTAATTAAGTGCATACTTTTTATGTTTTTGAAGTGCAGTTCACTTAACATTTTCTAAATATTTAGCCTTTCTCTCATGTTTCCTATTTCCATAAATTAATGTATTGTTACACATGTTTGTAACTTTGTCATTCATCTTTATATTTCTTTATTTTGCTCTGTCTTGTGTCTGTCTCTAACAGGCTCATCTCATCTCTGTACCTCCCTCATCTCCTACCCTTTGGGTACTCTAATGCGTTGAAGGTTTCTGAGGTAGCGTAAACCAGCTTGGTCTCTAGGTTAAAGTAATGTACCTCCATGTCTTAATCACAGTTTCCTTCTATTACACATGATTTTCAGTACATTGAGCAGTAGGAAATAATTATATTCTTAAGTGATATATTCTCCTATTGATTTGAATTTGGCCAAATAGGAATTATGGTGCTGTTTTACAATACTTATGTATATAATTTATTTGAAGACAAAGAAAACTATAGGTAAGGACTTAAAGGTTTTTTGACAACATATTTTACTGTTGTGTTTCAATAACATGTTTTAATGATACTGATGTTACTTAAATTAGTACTTTTGACATAATCTCATGTTACTCCCCTACAAATTTATAAGAAGAGAAATGGCTATGCCACTTACACAATGGACCTAGTGGGAAATTTATGGATTAGCAAGTAGAAAGGCAGAGCTTCCATATTCTAGTTAGTAATCACCTGAATTATTCTCAGTTTTCTCCTGTGCTTATCCCACATCTTTAATGATTTTCCCTAGAAAAATTCTTGTCTATAATAACTTTACCCAACTCATAGACGAACCCTAGAGGACAAAATGAATTCATGATTCAAAAGAAAATTTGTTCAAGCAGTTACTAATATGAATACTAGACAATTACGCATTTTATTGATAAAATGTATTACATGTATCAAAATATATAACATTAAAAATGTGAACTCTTTGAGTTTAAAGGTTTGGAAAAATAAACACATATGGTAAACATATAGGATAATGTTAAGTTTCTCAAATGTTTACACTTAAATAGCCATGTACTCTTCCCAGTTAGTAATAATGGTATTCATTTTTTCATCAGTTTTAGAATAATTTACCCTGAATGTAATGAAGTTACTGAGTTAATAAGTGTCTCTTTTAAAATTGCTTTGGATAGTCAACTTCATGTCTCATAACAGATGTGATTAAACATTGCAATGACATTTTCTTATAGGATATATTAATATGAATAGTGATCATGGGATGAAGTGATGATTATGTAAAGAAGCAGGCAAAAAACGTGAATGTTCACAAGTATTGTGGCATAGTGATTAGACCAATTATAAAAAGTAGCATTCATAAAGCTATATATATATATATATATATATATATATATATATATATATATATATATATGCTAAATCCCAACTTTATACTATTTTGTCTTAGAGGGGAAAATAGCCCAGGCCATTCTTTGTTATTCTTTTAGGAAACATATTCACTTCCTTTGGAAGAAAATTCTGTACCTGAAAATTGTCATTATATGAACTACTATTGCTTTAGACATTAGTGAGAAAATAAGGGATACTCTTTTAAAACCTAAATTTACTGTTTCTTCTTATGTAATATTTGAGTTAATGAAAGTCATTTTGAAATTCAAGCCCATCGCCTTCTTTTGAAAGGCAGTGACTATTGAAGTAAACAAAATAAATTAGTGCTTAGACAAATAAAGATTATAGTTGATAACAAAATTATAGAAATTATTTTATGAAATTTCCAGTAGTTCAATAGATTATAATTCATGTGTGCATTTTAGTTTAATAGAGAGCAAATAAAATTTTAAGTTTTTTTTAAAGGCTTCTATTTTTTCAAAATAACCCAAACCAAACTTGTTTAATTTTAAAATAATAATACCCATATATTTTTCTCTATCCTGCTAAGTTTTCAGATACTGCTTTGAAGATATATAAATTTAATGTGTATTGTTTTATGTTAACCCACTAATGTACATATTGCTAAATAATTTTTGTAGGACTCTTTAAACTTTGCAAGATATTTGGAATATGACATTGTTATTATACACATTTAACTACTAATATTTACTACTGTTAACTATTACTGCTGAAAATAAGAGATACCAAATTTATAGTTTATATTGCTAGACTGGTAGTTTTTAAGCTTTTATTATTATTTTTAAAATATATTTTTATTGACTTTAGAGAGGAAGGGAGAGGGAAATAAAAATATCAATGATGAGAGAGAATCATTGATTGGCTGCCTCCTGCATGCACTGGGGATCGAGCCCACAACCTGGGCATGTGCCCTGACCAGGAATCAAACTGTGACCTGATTCATAGGTCAACAGTCAATCACTGAACCATGCTGACCGGGCAGTTTTTAAGCTTTTTTTTGCGTTAGCGTACATCTTATGTACATATCTAGAATCCAGAACTATAATAGCAAGGAAATTACTAACATCTAATATGTCTTTTGCTAGTTAAATACTTTACACTAGGTCATTATCAATATCTTTAAAATATTTATAAGAAATAGTTTTCAAATAGCTTCCTGATTATCAGCTTTATGAAGTAATATTTTGTGGAATTTTTATCATATAATAACAAAAATATCATAGAAAAATATCAAAATATATTAATATTTACAAGATAAAAAAACAAGTAAATGTTCTATTTCTAACATATATATATGAAAACATAGGCTATTAAATTTTAATTTATAGCATATTTTATATACAATTAAATTTCTTCAAAGCCGATTACACTTAACTATTTTTTGTGTGTTTCTTGCTGATTGAATTAAATGATTGTTCTTCCATGTATTTTATACATCATCAAATAAATTATTAAAAGAAAGCAGATATATGTTTATTTAATTTTTTAAGCCTTGAATTTCACCACTCAATTTTACAGAACATTCAGTAAATTTAGGTTTAAATATATCTAACGTTCTATCTCATGAAAATATGGAGAAATGTTGTGAAACTGGTGATTGAAGACATCTGTTAGTAGCACAAATGCATTATGTAAAAGGTTTTTTTAAATTAGTTATTATTTTGAGAATGATAAATTCAATGGCTGCTAATGAATAGTTCACAGTCATAGCTGCACATTACAGTTAGAAATGGGAGAATGAAAATAATCAATGCTGCTTAAGACTATTATTTCTCCAAAATTATATATGTGTCTTGGAATATGCTAAAATCAGAATTTGTGTGCATGGTTTGAGGCACATTTGCTTTAAAATATCGTATTAAAATCTTCACCAAATGTATTATTTTACTTTGTTTAGTGAAAGCAAAAAACTGTTTCAGTTCTAGAAGAATCTTGAACCCATTAAAAATTGTATCTATTAGTAAATGGCCCAATTGAGAGGCTTAATAGTGCACAGGACAAAATTCAAGTAATATTTGAAAGTAAGTTATAAGTGTCTTAAATCACACCTGGCATTTTCTGAGTAGTGAAGAGTAAGTGGGATTTTGGGAGAGAATTTATAGAAAAGGTTTTATTTGTATATGTCCTAGTAGTTTAGAGGCATTCAGATAAGTACAGACTACAGTAAAAGGAGATGAAACTGCAGGCGAATTTGAATAAGTTGGGATTTAGGTAGGTAGAGAGAAGAATTAGGCAGACACAAGAGAGTGTATTCCCTACGCATAAGACTAATGAGAATAGGAGCAAGTAGTTTGGAGTACGTTATTATAAATATGGTTAAGGCTTTAAAGCTGGGTTGGCATCACTCATTTCACAATAAAAATAACAAATAAGTATGGAGAAACGTTAGGAAGAAGAGAGATACATGTGCAATCATGCAGACCTCTTTAATTTTTATCATTGAATTGCTAAACGTGAAGAGCTTACAGATAAATTTAAATTAAAAAATGTTTCATAATTAGTGGATAATGGAATTTAATTACCATTTGCTAACCATTGTCATGTTCCCAGATCTGCTGTCCACTTAACTAATGTCATAATCTTCACTATAATTTGGGAAGGATGACAAAATAATTAAGTTCCTGGTTAATGTTAATGGAAAATTGACATAATTCAAATCTATTGATCTTTTCTCTGCAGACCAATATCAGTATGCTTATGCAATCGAATAGTGACAAGCATAAAATCATAATCACAGTGTTTGTACTGTAAGAATGAACACTCTCATATAGAAATCTCTGAAAGTTGTCAAAAGAATTTTTTCTCAGTTTGTTTTTTCAGATGCAATTAAAGCTACATATATGCCGTGTGCTTATCAGAGAAATATTCACCCTTTTTAAAAACTATACATTTTAAATTCTTTAGTCTGAGCTTAAATCATAATAGATGTCTACCTTGTTATTTAAAAAAAAATATATATATATATATATATAATCAGTTTTGGATAAAATGTAAAAATCAATGATGTTTCAAAACCATGATTACTTTTTAATATTTTCATAGGTGATCTTCCTTCATAAGGAATAACTATTTAGTTATAGAGTTTTAACCTGGGAATTGGTTTACATTTTCTTGACTGAATTCTCCCATTTCTTTCTGTAACTGATAAATAAGAATATTAAAAGAGTTCTATTTATATTAAACCTTCATGCTTACCTCATAAACTCATTAAGGAACTATGTTAGTCTAGTTTAATTCATATTTCACTCAGTATGTCTGGAATTGTGTAAGTAATTGTTTGTATTCTATAATAACAATCTCTTTTAGCAGGTCAGGGTGTCTCTCCACAGTCTGCTCCAGCCTGTGTTGAAAATAAAAATGACGTGAGCAGAGAAAACAGCACAGTTGACTTTAGTAAGGTAAGCTTTTCTCCTTTTCATTTAAGTAAGCTGCTGAATTGTTACTGAAATTACTACACAAATTTTTGCATGCACATTTTTTGTTGTTGTTACTTAGCCAGAGCTGGATGTTGTTATGGCGATGGCGTTTAAGTTCATATGTAGCATTTTACTTATGTAAACGTGTACATTTTAGGCATAGACTTTAGGTTTGAGCTACTTGGTATAATGTATCCCTTCCAGTAAAAAGAATAGCTGGACTTCACAGAGAAGTTTATGGAAGTTTATTATTTAAATGTTTGCTGTTTTCTCGAAGTTATATTTTCCTTTACTTAAGGAAACACAAATCATATAAAATTTCATTGTAGTAATTCAGAGAAAGGCATTAGTGTAAGAAAACATTAGACTATGGTGGAACTGAGCAAGGTTTCCAATGAAAACATAATAAAGATGGACTGTTAAGGGATACATCTAACTGGAGCCAATTCAAGTGCAATCTTAAATTATCACTTACTGAGGTTATTCTAAGCAGATGATGAGTCTGAGAAAATAATGTGATTTTAGTCAGCAAATTCCTGACATTGTGCATGTGCTATTGTGGGCTATGGCAAACCAGCATTTAAACAGCAATGAGGAGTCGCAATACTGGCCAAAAATAAAGAGAGGGTCAGCCATTCTCTTTATCTGAGTGGCTGAAGCAGCAGTAACTCAGAGTGTGAGTATGTGTGGTGGTTTTCCACCCCTAAAGTCTGTAACACTGACAACGATTATAACAGTGGGAGGAGATGGGGAGGAGAGGCACCGTTCAAGTCCTGAAAAAAGTAATAGCAGTCAGCTCCCCGTTGCTGTTTCAGAATCCCTCTGCTAATGTCTCAGTGGTCTGGGTCCAGTAATGTGCATGCTCGCCCTCTGGTGCCTGGCAGTCTCCGTGGCAGCGCGGCGTACCCGGTTAAGTCTGTTAATTATGCGTGCAGGGACTGGGAGGCCAACAAAAGGGGCACACTAGTCCCTGTGGGATGAAACACAGGCATGAAAAAGGACCTCCGCACCAGCAAGAGAGAGAGGTGAGGGCACCCTCGGGCTATGTTTCCATGATGGTTCAAAGCTCATTTCACTGTATGCAGGCGTGCGACTCAAACGTTAAGCCAGCTCAGATGTAATCCATTTGCCTTTCCAAAAGCTATCTATCCAAAGCATTACATCTTCATTCATCTGCAAGTCGGAATAAAATGGTTGCAAACTGCCATACATTTAACTACTGATATTCTTCATTGAAAACATTATCTTAAAAGCAGTGACAGCCCTGAACGGGTGGTTCAATTTATTGGAGTGTCATCCTGTATGCCAAAAGATTGTGGGTTCAATTACAGTCGGGGCACATATGGGAGGCAACCAATCAATGTCTCCCCCTCAAAAAATTAATAAAACATATTTGGGTGAGGAATAAATAAATAAGTAAATGCACCGACATAAGAAATATCTTATTTATGCAGGCATTTACAGTACAACATGGGTATATTTAACATTCTAAAAGAGAATAATGATAATCAATTTTTATCCTTTCAACTAAATTACCTTTTAACTTTTTTTAAATTATATAATCCTTTCAAACTGAATTTTATATCTCCATACCATTTTACTTTTAGTTGTCTGACCTCTTTTTGGCAGCCTTAAAAATGCTTCTCATTTAAAAGAAAATGAATTTTGTCAAGCGGAGACTAGATTTATCCTCAGGTCTCCCCAGACAATTGGAACTACAGGAGAGTGAAAAACACATTTTCTTTCCTTTAATCCTTTCGTCGTGTTGCTTTTTCAATCATTTGTTCATTTCATCTTTTAATAGGCAAATTAAATTGCTAGGGCGCTCTACTCAGTATTAACCTTCTGTATTCCTCAGTCTCTCATCCCCAGCATGACATCTTGGAAAGAACATGGCTTTTTACAAAAAGCATGAGATCTGGAATCCTAACTCTACTGTTTATAAACTATCTGATCTTGAAGGAATTCTCTGAACTTCAGCTTTCTCATTTGTAAAATAATAATAATCCTATCTAATAAAAGAGTAATATGCAAATTGATAACCACTCCAACACACATGATGGCTGCCACAAGATGGCCTGCAGGGAGGGCAGTTGGGGGTGGTCAGGTCAGCAGGGAGGGCTGTCGGGGGGAAGGACCCAGGCCTTCAAGGAAGGGTATTTGGAGGGAACCCAGGCCAGCAGGGAAGGGCAGTTAGGAGTAATCAGGCTGGCAAGGGAGCAGGTAGGCACCAGTCAGCCTGGCAGGGGAGTGATTAGGGGGTGATTAGGCTGGCAGGCAGAAGCCGTTAGGGGCAATCAGGAAGGCAGGCAAGTGGTTGGAAGTCAGCAGTCCTGGATTGTGAGAGGAATGTCTGACTGCCCCTTTTAGACATCCCTCAAGGGATCCCAGATTGGATAGTGTGCAGGCTGGGCTGATGGACAGCTACTTCCCCCCCGCCCCTGTGCATGAATTTTGTGCCCTGGGCCTCTATAATAATAATAGTGTTGTAAAAATAAAATAATAGAGAGCCTGGCAGAGTGTGCTGGGAATGTAGCAGGCATTGTCCACTTAAATATTTTCAATTTTAATATGTAGATTCAAAACCCCAGTCAAATTTTGAGATGTTAAGGGTAAAAAAAGTCTTTATTCATGTCATATGACTTGATCCTATCTATATTCAATCTACATTTTTTAACCCTTCCAATGGCCAGACCCATCAAACTTCCTAATTTAAGGAATTTTTAAAAAAATATAATCTAAGTTGTCAGGTTGTCGCTTCCTATAATATTTTAAAAAGCAGATGTGTCAAAACACTCTATGTCACCATTTCTTAAATTGACATGTAGAGGGTGGATATTTTAGTATTTCCCAAATGTTGGTGGCATTTCTTTTATTTCAAACTAGAGGCCTGGTGCATGGGTTTGTGTACTGGTGGGGTCCCTCGGCCTGGTCTGCGGGGATCGGACCAAAACTAGCTTTCCAACATCCCGCAAAGAGTTCCGGATTGTGAGAGGGTAGTTTCTGGGTGACACGCCCTGGAATCGGGCTCCCTCCTCTCTTCTCTCAATTTTATATGACTTTCTCTCTGTATCTGTCTCACTTCTTTCATCTCACTTTACCTTAAGTTTCGTGGTAACTGATGACTTGTGGGCATTTAGCTGCAGAGTGCAATTATTTAGCAAACAGGATTTACTTAGCCCGGAATCTAGTCAATCTAGGGCAGGACTCTGCTCAATGTCAGGCTCCTGTCAAGGCCCTTCCATCCCGGCAGAGTCCCGTGGCGGCGGGAACCTCCTTCTTCCCACCTGAGCTACTCCTCCACCTTCCCTCCCTGGAAGTTGCCAGCTGGCACTACTCTCTGCCCAGGAGGAGGGAAGCCGTGGCTGTTTTCCCAGCTGAGAGTGGTAGTGGGAAAATTTGCTGCCTCTGCTGGAAATCAATATTAAGTGGATGGGCCAGTGCAAGCACCTCATTTAGCTAATCGAGCCAAAAAACTTTTATGTATGGGCCAGACCCAGGACCTCTGCCTTGGGCTAGAGGCCTGGTGAGAAGCCAGACCCGAAGTGGAAAGCCAATGGACTGGAGATTCATGCACCGGTGGGTGCTCCAGCCTGGCCTGTGGGGATTGGGCCAAAACCAGCTCTCCAACATGCCCTGAGAGGTCCTGGATTGTGAGAGGGCGGTTCTTGGGTGACACACCCCAGAATCAGACTCCCATCTCGTTCTGGGTGCGACACCTGAGAACTGCAGCTGCCAAGTCACCAAAGCTCGGCAGCTCCTGCGTTGAGTGCCTGCCCCCTGGTGGTCAGTGTGCATCTTGGCTACCAGTCAGATGGCTGGTCATTTAGGCTTTTATATATATATATGACTCAAAGAAACATTCACATTATTTTCTAGAGAAAGAACTTTCTTCTGCATCTATCTTTAGTATGTAAAACATAGTATAAAGCAGTGGTTCTCAACCTTCCTAATGCCATGATCCTTTAATACAGTTCATAAAATTATTTCCATTGCTACTTCAGAACAGTAGCAAAATTTCAGTTATGAAGTAGCAATGAAAATAGTTTTTCTGGTTGGGGGTCACCACAACAGGAGGAACTGTATTAAAGGATTGCAACATTAAGAAGGTTGAGAACCACTGGTATAAAGAGTTGGATGATTAAATCCTTGAACTCAGAAATCTCCTCATTTAGAAGGTGAGAAAGCTATATCTCAGAGAGATTAAGAGAGCTGCTCAAGATCTCTGGTTGGTTAATGTCACAGTGCCATTACCCGCCAGAGAATCCCTATTACTTTTATTGTACTTCATGTAATGGGCTTAAGACTTAAACTTTCCCCTAAAGTCCCATCTGTATTTCCTTCACATATCAGTGTGTAGCTTGACCACACTTCCAGTTCCGCCATGATCGGTCTACACTTGTTCCCTAGAATTATAACTGCTTCACACCTACTGCTTATGTGCCAAATGCCCAGAATGAAGCATCTTTCTCTTCTTAGCAAAAAGGTCTGGGGAAACTAAAAACAGGGTGTAAATCCTGATTCATAAGAGAATAAATCCTTCAAGGTCTATTCAGAAGAACTGAAAATCCAGGATTTTTAAATGTTCATTCCAAGTGTTTTTAGTCAACTTGAGGATTGTCCTAGAGCTGTATTCAATCTAGTTCCTTACTCAGAGGTCTTTTAGGCAGTTGTAATTTTATTACAGGTTAAATTGTAACCCTTAATTGTGACCTTTTGTTATATTAAAAGGTAGTTAATTATATTGCCAAATAAGGTTTTTTAATGAATTATATATTAACACAAATACAAAAACATAGGGATGCCCCCAAGAATAATATAATACATAATTGCAATATAATAAAATCATTAGAGAATATAAAGCTAATACCCTCTCAAATATATAACTACTCCCACAATAATATAATGGGGAGTGGGGATGGGGTTATAAGAGGTCAATAGGGAAAAGATGGGGAACATGAAATACTTTCAACAATAAAGGTTAAAAGAAATTTTTAAAAATAAAATTAAAAAAAGAATAAATAATGGCCCAGGCCGGTATGGCTTATACCCAAATTATTGGTTCCATCCCAGGCTGGGATGTGTGTGGGAGGGAACTGATGGGTGTTTCTCTGTCACATTGATGTTTATCTCTCTCCCTTCCTCTCTTTCTAAAATCAATACAAACATTGAAATAAAGAATAATATAATGTAATGAGTATAATATAATGGCTACTCCGGATATATATATTATTTAACTATAACTTACTATGTTTGAAATCAATAGATAAATTTGTTAGTCCTGAAATAAAAGTCTGAATATTTAATACTTTTTTTTAAATTACAGGTATCAACTAATAATATATTAAGTATTATGTAATTCAAAAATAAAATTATGTGTAAGGACTATATATTTCCTTTTATATAATTAACCTAATACAGATTATTTTTATATTTTATCCTTAGGATAAAGTATATACTCCATATAATGAGTTTTATTTTTTGTGTCATCTTTATTTTATCGATAAATTAAGTAGTTATAAACTTTCTAAATAGCTATGCTGAGTTCTTGATTTAAGAAAGCAACATATGTAATGTAGTCCCTAAAATCTGGCTATGGGCGTTCTAAGGTACTTCTAAAAATTCTAATATTTTTCCATTTTAAACTTCTTGGAAAAGCTATTCTCATACCATTAACCTTGCAAAAGAACTGCCTGGCCCCTTAAAAAAAAAATCTCTGCCTCACTTATATTTGCCAGAACTCTTTTCTCTCTCTCGGCTATTCCCACTTTGATCTTTGGCCTCCACTTAATTGACATAGAGCATAAAACCAATTACTAGAGCAGACAAAAATCTTATTCTCCCTATAAAGTGATTTCCATAAAAAGCAACTCAAATGAATTAGAACCAAGAAATAGGCCTTGCAAAATTGACTTTAAAATCGCTGTTTGGTTTGCGTTGAGGACCTGCGCATAAAAATGAACATTTACTCTTAAGGACGGTTTACAGTCATTTTTCAGACTTCACCCTTTAAGCATTTCTTCTTGTTAATGATCACTTTTGTGTTGTGTGCATTCATTTCAATCATAGACATCTCATATCAGAGTTCAACTATGGCTCTTCAGCCACCCCAAATGTTAAAATTTATATTCTTGTATTTTTTATCTCTGCTATATCTAAATTCTCTGATGAGAAATTAAAATTGAGGAATGATCAGGCTAAGTATAGAATGAGAAGGATATAGAATAAAGGTGAATACTAAAGTCATAATTAGCACTGTAAGGAGAAACATGTTTCTATTTCTTTTGAAATAGGCATATTTTGAGTATTAATTAAAATATATTATGCATAAAATTTAGATGATGCAACCTAAAAATATTTAAGTCTATTGGAAAATCTGAATTAAATCATGACTCAAGCATATTAATTTAATTGAACACATGCTCCTTTCTCCCTCAATATTTCAAGATTGCTGATACTGAAGAAGTTTTTCTTTAACATATTAAATAGAGAACCTAGAATATTCAACTTATTGATGACAAGTTAGATAAATACACAAATAAAGAAAAAAGTGATTTTTAAAGGGAAAAAGACCTTTAACTATTTAAAAATGTGTTTAAACCATATATATATATATATATATATATATATATATATATATATATATGCTATATTTATTCAAATGATACAGTATTTATTGATGAATTACAATATGTGAGGCACTGTGCTAGCATGTAATTTAGGGAATTTTCACCATTTTGGTTTGTCTTAATTTGCTCTGTGATGCTTGCAGGTTGATCTACATTTTATGAAAAAGATCCCTCCAGGGGCTGAGGCCTCAAACATCCTAGTTGGGGAGCTGGAGTTTCTGGATCGAACTGTGGTTGCATTTGTCAGGCTGTCTCCAGCTGTATTGCTTCAAGGACTGGCTGAAGTCCCGATCCCAACCAGGTAAAAAGTGTAACAGCATTTTTTGCATTTTTCTTAAAACATTTTTTTGGGGGGTAAAAAACAAGGAGTAAATGTAATTTACTCTGAGTTTTTTTCTAGAAATGAATCCACAAATCTGTTGTTTTATCTTGCTTGTGGAGAAGGGGGGAAAGTTCCTTAAAATTATTCTTTTTTTTTTTTTGCCTTAGCTGGTTTGGCTCCTTGAATAGAGCATTGGCCTGCAGACTGAAGGGTCCCAGGTTCAATTCCGGTCAAGGCCACATGCCCGGGTGATCCCCAGTAGTGGGTGTGCAGGAGACAGCCGATCAATGATTGTCTCTCATCATTGATGTTTCTATCTCTCTCTTCCTCTCCCTTTCTCTCTGAAATCAATAAAAAAATTTTTTTTTAATTTATTCTGTTCTTTCCTCTCAAACTTTTATGTTTTCTTTTAGGCATGTTCCTCTTCTTTAAATACCACTATATAAATCCTTGATAAAAAGTGACCAAGTATTAAGCTTTTCTCTAAGATTGCATTTGACATTGTGCTACTGAGGATCCTTTGTACAAGTGTGGTCAAACTAAAAGGAAAAAAAAATCAGTTTTCAAGCTTGGTTAATGCTTAAATAAGTAGGCCTTCATGTACATGTAAGTGGCATCATTAGGATAGCTCCTGCTGAATTTAATGTACTGTATGTTTTAATCTTAGGCACAGTGTACTTCCCATATATAGAGTCTGAGGAATCATTGGTAGAAGCATATGGTGCTGAGGCTGAATCCAAATCAAAAGCACAAATTTAATATGATTATCTGAACTTGTTTCTCTTTGAACTATGCATAAAAACAACAATTTAGGGATAGTATTAACTGAATTATAATTGTTTATAATATACCTATATTTTGTGGATATAAGACTATTCACAAGCAAAAATATGTGAAAAAATAGTTAACTTTAGCACATTAGGTTCCTAGCAAATTCACCCAGGGACTTTGTTTTCTTCCTTTTTCCTCCATCAAATGTCATTTCTATATGAAGACAGCCTTTTATTCTGATTCTATTTTCATAGCAAAACATATCTCTATGGGCCCCATCCTTCAAATGACTGGGGCTGATCGTGTAATGCTCTGTTTCAGATGCTGTAGCCTCCTCTTCCAAACATTGAATGCCTCGGCCAGATTAAGATGACGTAAGGTGCAGGTGCTATGGCATCTGGGTTTATAGAATGTTTCCTCTATGAACCTTTGGCCTTTACATTAGAGTACATCACTCTGTGGCTTTAAAAAATACATTTTATTGATTTTTTTTTACAGAGAGGAAGGGAGAGGGATAGGAAGTAACATCAATAAGAAAGAAACATCGATCAGCTGCCTCCTACACACTCCGTACTGGGTATGTGCCAAGGTACATGCCCTTAACCAGAATTGAACCTGGGACCCTTGAGTCCGCATGGCGGATGCTCTATCCACTGAGGCAAACCAGTTAGGGCTCACTCTGGTTTTGATTATGAATAAAACATCCCCAAATATGGAACAGGTTAGTCAGGAGAGGCCTCATTTTGGAAGAGCTCAACCAGCTGGAACGGGATTCAGTGTGTGAGTACCTGTGCCTGAATCTGGTTTAAGGAAGGAAGCTGGTTACCATTCAGGTTACAGAAAGAGGTTCAGCCTTTTGGAGGTCTACTGAGACTTTTGTACATACTTTTATTTTAAAAGGGGGAAGACGAACTGAGGCTATTAAAGTGGCATATGACTGTATAATTGAGGCCAGTTTTTCTACATTGTTGTTCTGTAACCTAATATCTATTGGCTTTATAAGGTATATGAATTTCTGGGAATTTGGGGTTTAGATTTAAGATGTCAAACTTACTAACTTCAGAGGTATTATTTTAGTAGCTTAACATTCTTTATTAGTCTTCTAAGCCATACATTCTTGTCTCACCATTTAAGATAGTGTCTGATGAACTCTGAGTAAATGATGGCTGTTTATGACCATGAGAGTTCCCGTCTTTCAAATGAAAGAAAAGAAAAAGTCCCAGGAGTAAAGACATAATGGGGTTATGTACCCTCACTTCGAAAACTGTCAAGATTTAGGTGACCTCATTTCATACTGACATAGCAAAATATGTGTAGAGAACAATGGAGGGAAAATTAGGGGTAGAGCTGTAAAGGGACAGACTTGACTAACTAGGAAAGGTGAAAAGTAGAAGACTAGTTGGACAAATAGAATAAAGAAAGCCATCAAGGGTCCTAATTATCCTTTCTTAGGACACCATGACTGTACCAGCAACACAGTAAAAATGTCAGAAAATAATCTTTTAGGAATTTATAAATAGCCCATGAAATGGAAACTTGAAAAATAGCAACATGTACATAGGTTAAGAAATGTCTTAAAAGCATTAGTTGTTAAAGCTTCTGCCACCACATTAAATGTATTCCTGTTTTAAATGTATAGTGGACATTTTTGTATGGTAGATATTGACTTGGGCTTGGTTTCAACTGAAACAAAAACTTAATGTCAGATCATATAGGACTACGTAACATATGCTTCATGTAAAAGCATGTATAATTGCTAAGTAAATGAAGGGTAGAATTATAGTACCTATTTTTCATATACTTTACAAAGCCATTAGATATTCATACTGAAGAGCATAAATCATTTAACAAACAAATGCTGTAGAGTTATATTGCAGAATATAGGGCATTTAAAATTTTTTACAATTTCCCTGAAGCACTGACCTTCTCCCTATAACGTTGATTAGTCCTGTAAAGTTAGAGCATATATTGATTTCTTTAAAAAATTCCAGTTGTGATCATGAGTTTGCCTATTTATATGGAATATCACAATTCAACTGGTATTTTTATTCCTCCAATATTGAAATTAATGTCTTTAATGCCTGGCTTTTTCTGCCTAACTGGCCTCTGATTCATGACAATAGGTTTTTGTTTTTTTTCTATTTGATGTATATTTTACATGCACCCATTGTTTTTTGACCAGAGATTATTTGTTTATACAACTGTATTACCTTTCCCCACTTCTATCTAGTTCTACAATTTACTTACTAGTTGTTTGTTTTTTTACAATTCAGAATTTAAAAAAAATATATATGTGTTTATTGATTTCAGAGAGGACAGGAGAGAGGGAAAACATAAAAACATCAATGATGAGAGAGAATCATTGATCAGCTGCCTCCTGCACTCCCCGCACTGGGGATTAAGCCTGCAACCTGGGCATGTACCCTGACTGGGTATCGGACCATAAACTCCTGGTTCATGGGTCGATGCTCAACCACTGAGCCACATCTGCCAGGCCAATTCAGAACATTTTAATCAGATTTTACTTTTGTCACCTTAAGAATGATAGAATTCTCAAACTTCTCACTAACAACTGTGTAGGCTCTATCAGTAATGAAATGGGAGAAACACTGAAATAAAAATAACCACAGATTCCCAATGCTTAAGAATCTTAAGCATAAGAGACAAGCATTATAAACTATTTCAACTTAATAATGAACTGTGAAAAAATACAGAAGTATTTTACATGGAAATTTCTATATTCAATAATTCCTTTGAGATGAGTGATTATGTACTACTAAGATAATTTTTCTATTTTTACTATGAAACATTTGTTTTCTTTTCTTAATTATAGGTTTTTGTTCATTCTGCTGGGACCCCTGGGAAAGGGTCAACAGTACCATGAGATTGGCAGATCGATTGCAACCCTAATGACAGATGAGGTATTTATTCAAGTTCATTGGGAACATTTTTGGCCACTAGGTACACGTAACTTTTGGGGTTCCTGTATCGTGACAATTTACCGTGACTTCGATTTCTCTGTATTGTCTCCTCCTTCTTCTGTTTTCACTGTAAAATTTACTTTGGAGAAGTTTGCTTAAAAGGGATGATAAGTTCACACACACGAATATAATACTTTAAAACCTCATATTCTAAAAATAATTTGTTATTTAGTGACATTTAGAATATATATTAATATTCCCCTTACATTATATGTATTTTCAGAGCAAGCAGCATTATTACTGTCATTGTTAATCTTGTTTTGGGCAAAGTGATTTTTTAAAAATATATTAACAACTTAATTGAGATAAAAGTCACAGGGTACACAATTCACCCATTTGAAGAGTACACTTCATTGGCTGTTAGTATGTTCAGAGTTGCATGCAAATATAGGGAGAAGGCAAAATATTTTTAAGGTCCAAGAAAAAACAATGAATGTTTATAGTATGTATGACGATAAAAATAGTATACATGACAATAAAAATGATGCAACACCTATAAATTTTCTTTATAATGGCCTAAATGTAGTTTTTCTTAACCTGGGAGTTTTGAACTGTTAGAACTATAGATAGTTTTCAAGGGCCTGTGATCCCTCTGATATAGCACATACATTTTCTGTGTAAAGAATTTGGTTGTAGATTTTTTTTGGACTGAAAAAAGCTTTCATCAGTTTCACAAAGAAGTGTATATCTAAAAAATGTAAGATCATAAAAATGAGAACACATGATGTAACATTGTTTAACTAGGTCTTGTATTCCCCAACACTTTATGGAAATCTATTTTTATTATTTTATTGTTCTTATTAAAAAAGAACAGATGCAAAAGATCACAGAAGGAGTATAAATTCAAAATTCAATAGTAAATAACAAATGGGACTATACAAAATTAGAATCTTGTCTAAATAATTTAATGATGTATTTACTGAATTTATGGCTTCAGATACTTTAAAATCTGTAAAAAAAAAAAAAAATGAGCAAATTAACATTGGCTATAACTTTTACTAGCCTTACAAAATCTGAAGATTTTAACTTGTATTAGGGGGGTTGATAGAAATTATTCTTTTACATCTGTTCAAATTGTGTTTTATGATTTTATATCAATTATTTTTTAAATCAGGTTCAGAAAAAAAAGAACAACTTATTGAGTATATTAGTTTCTATGGCTGCCATAGAAAATTAAAATAAGGTGATTAAAATAAGAGTAATGTATTTTATCATATTTTTGTGGGGCCAGTAGTCTAAAGTCAAGGTATCGGCAGGGCCACATTCTCTCTGAAGGCTTTGAAGGAGATCTTTCCATGTCGTTCCAGCTTCTAGTAGCTCATGGTGTTTCTCAGCCTGTGGCAGCGAAATTCCAGTCTCTGCCTCCATTTTCACATGGCTTTTCACATGTGTGTCAGCTACTATTCTGTCTCTTATGAAGACACTCATTGGATTTAGAGCCAGCGTAATCCAGGATGACCTCACCTTGGGATTCTTACCTTAATTACATCTGCAAAGACCCTTATTTCAAACTAGAGGCCCAGTGCATGAAATCTTTTCATGGGTGTGGTCCCTAGGTCTGACCAGTGATCAAAGTGCAACCATCTGGCATGGAAGGGCAGGTCTCAGCTTACCTCTGGGCCCTGGTCAGTACCGGGGCCTCTAAGTCCCCACGTTCCCCACTCTGCCTGAGTCATCAGGTCCCTGCCCAGCTCCCTCAGCACCTGCGAGCCAGGCAGTGACCCTGCCCCCGCTACTGCTGCTGCTGCTGGTCACCATCTGCAGGGCAATTGGCGGGGCAATTGGGCCCTGCTTGAACCTGCCTTGTCCTGGCGCAGCCCACTCACCTGCTCCACCATCCTGTGCAGTCCCACTCTGGTCAGGGCCCATCGGGTCTGGCAGCGCCTGCACTGCTGCCTGCTGCCAGTGCCATGTCGCCAACACTCTCATGTTCTATTTTATAATCTTATTATTTAATAATTGAAACAAAATTAACCTTTTAAATTAGTTCATATATGCCAAGGTATAAATATTGCTAAAATATATAATATAGTCTATACATTTTCATCTCTATTTTTAAGCAAAGGCGTCTTTCAGAAAGTTTGATTTAACACACATAAATAAGCTTTGCCAAGCTTGAATTATTAATTCTAGCTTAATTAGCTTCCTTCTGTGGGACTGAAAAAAAACATTAATACTTTTCTTCCCACCTTCTAAGTTCTTCTAGGCTGGGCTAAAAACAAAATTAACAGATACTCGTGAACAGAAGAGAATAAGAGTTTACTATATGGACATGGGGAATTGACAGAGGCATGAAAATTCCAAAGACAATGAGGCAACATTGGGTATCTAAAGACACTTTTTGGGGAGAGCAGGGAATTAGATTTCAGAAGTGAAAATGGGCTATCCTCAGGTAGTTGAGGAATACCAAAACACACATGGCAAAAAATCATTGCTAGGTGACTCAAAAGCACAGGGACACAGGGATATCTAGCTAATAAACATCTGGCTAAAGCCTTCTTGTAAATAGTACTTAATTCAACCTGTATCCTAAGATCTTCTTCCTGAAGCAAGTTTCTCTTTCTGAATCTCTTGGGCAGAAAAGGGGGAAGAATAAAAGTTTCTTTGAGTCATTTGTTTCTTAATAAATAGCTTAAAATCAATATCACCCAAAAAGCAGCTTCAGGCTGGCAGAATTTTAGTCCCATCCCTTCCATCTTCCTTCCCCTTCCCTTTATTCTCACCTCCAGAAATTTCGGCATTCATTCTGGCATTCTGAGAGAAATATGTCTGTGGGCATTCATATATAAAACTAAATTATAATATTTTACTTGAAAACATCATTTTTTTTCCAAATTCTATAATCTCAGATGAGGTAACTGGGAAATGAAAACACTGAACACATTAAGATTTTATAACTTTTAAAATCTATAAATTATATTTATTTTCATCCATATAGGTATTTCATGATGTTGCTTACAAAGCTAAAGATCGCAATGACTTGGTATCAGGAATTGATGAATTTCTGGATCAGGTTACTGTTCTTCCTCCTGGAGAATGGGATCCCAGCATTCGTATAGAGCCTCCAAAAAATGTCCCTTCCCAGGTATGCATATTTGAAAATACTTGTCTTTTAAATATATGTACCAAAATAGTATAACCTATCACAAGGATTGACATGCTTAAATTATAACCTGTGGTGTTGTGCTCTATAATAAGAAATATATATTTGGTATTCCTCTTGTTTCTAGCACAGAGCTCCTAAAACGTTGAGAATTTCCTGTTATGAGAGTAACAAAAGTGTCTTTTGTTAGGTTGAAGAAGGAGGGTTTTGGAACTCACTTAAAGAGGGGGGCTGATTGCCAGCAATGCCATCCATATAATTAGGTGGTTGGAACTTTCAGTTTCACCCTTCTTCCTTTGGGGAGGGGAGAAGAACTGGAGATTGAATTCAATTCCCAATGGCCAATGTTGTAATCAATCTGCCTCTGTAATGAAGCTTCCATAGAGCTTCATTACAGAGGCAGAAGCTTCCAAAGTATGGGGTTCAGAGAGCTTCAGTGTTGGAGAGTTGTGCACAAGGAGAGAACATGGACACCGCTTGCCCTTTCCCCCTATCTTCTCTTTGCATCTCTAACATGGGCTGTTCCTGAGTTATATCCTTTTATAAACTAGTGGTCTAGTAAGTACAATGTTTTTCTGAGTTTTCTGTGATCCACTCTGACAAATTAGTTGAACCCCAAGGAGGGGGGTCTTGGGAACCTGAGCTTGCAACTTTTAACTGAAATAGGGGGGAGGGCAGTAAGGGGGCAGCCTTGCAGGACTGAATCCTCAACCTGTGGTATCTGATGCTATTTCTGGGGAGATAGTGTCAAAATTGGGTTGGATTATAGGACACCCAGATGGTGTCTGGAGCATTGCTTGGTGGTGCTGGGGATGCCCACTTTCTTCCACATGGAATTGGTATCAGAACCTATTTAACCTTTAAGAAGTTAGAAAGTCTTCCATGATCGTATGCAACACACTTCACTGAGAAATTTGGTCTATTGATGGTATACTACTAAATAAAACAGTCCCATATCTCTGAAAAGATTTTTAGACCCATCTAAAAATACTAGAGGAAAATTAAATTTTTAATAAAGATGTAAAACATGGCATAAGAAAAAGTCCTTTACAGCCTTCCTATATTCTGATGCATCACTTAGAAGTTAGCAAGTATTAAAAATAATTCAAAGGCATGGCTTAGTTTTATTATATAGAAAACTTTTCTATTACTGCTGATCATATTAATTGGGAAGCATTTTTAATTAAAATTCTTATGTTTGTTTTATCTTGGTGTGGGTGTGTGACATAAAAATTGAAGAAATTCTGTTTATAAAAATTTAATGCACATTTACTCATTATATCTATATCTATATCTATCTATCTATCTATCTATCTATCTATCTATCTATCTATCTATCTATCTGCTTTTTCCCCCCAGGAAAATAGAAACAAAGATTGTTGCTATTATTTGGGTTCATTTTCTTAATGTAGGCATGCTTTTGTTGAGAGTGGTGACCAAATGTTTGTTAATCCCACTCCTCATAGTATCACCTCTATTTCTACTGAGTCTGCCTCCTACAACTATCCCAGTTGTCATCTAGTCAGCCTTGTTTGGGGCTCTTGTCCCTGCGGAGTCCAGGCTGGTCTGACTTGACTACACTGGTTGAAGTAACAGATGGTCTAATTGATCCAATCCTGGACATGGAAGTTCTTTTAGTTAGTTAGAGACGTGCAAGTGAGCAGATATACCACTCAAACGTGCCTATTTAAAAAAGGCGTCATAATCCCACTCTCAATGCAAGGAAAATAAGCTGACATCTGCCTCATTTCTGTGTTTTCATCCTGAAGTCATTTCATAACATTAAAGATAGTGTGCTTTTCTTCTCTCAGCAATAACAATTTTGTCATTCTATAACTGCAGCCATATATTTTCAGTTAATCTACTGCTAAAATAAAAGAAGTTGCTTAAGGAGTAATTTTAAGTGTTGTACACTGTCCTATTTTTGTACTTGTTTACATCTTGGCCATTACAATAATAGAAAAGGTGATATAATGCTTTCTGAAATACTAAGCTTTTTAATTGGTGTTATTTAGAAAATTTAATGAAAATATAAATACATTGAGACAGACTTTAAAAGTCACTTTTTAATACCAATTAGTTTTTCCTTTTTTTTCTCTCTTTTTTCTTTATTGTGGCAAAATGTATATAGCAGAAAGTTTTACCATTTTTTAAGTGTACAGCTCAAGTGTCATTACGAATTTTTCACATTGTTGTACAGCTATTACCACTACCTGTCTCTAGAACTTTTTTTTAAAAAAAACCTTTATTGTTGAGAGTATTATAATTTTTCTTTCTTTTAAAAAATCCCAGTTAGTTTGTCAAACATTAAAACTGAAGTTAAACTTTTTTAGAACACCTTGTCTTTGAGTAATGATGTTATGAAGGCAAGTTGAAGCATGGGAGCTCTGTATTTTTAAAATTATTTTTATGAGGTGATTAGAATGTATTGGGAGGCAATAGTAGAAAGAACATTGAGTTAAAAATCAAGACTCTGGGTTCTGCTCTCATTTATTTGTATGATCATGAACAGATGTCCTAACCTCTCTGTACTGACATTCTATGTCAGCATGTCTAATAGAAATTTCTGTAAGAATAGAAATTTTCTATATCTATGATATATAACAAATCAAGTCACTATTGAGCACAAGAAATGTACCTACTGCAACTGAGGAACTAAATATTAAACTTAAATTTACTTAAATTTAAATAACCACATGTTTTTAGTGGCTTTCATTTTAGACAACACAGTTTCGTATAAATGAATTTGAATTAGAGATAAGCTGTATGCTTCTTTATATTAGTATTTTTAATGTATGTTGTAATTGAATAACACACTATGAAATTGTTTTCTTTTATTAGATAAAACAAAATGAGGTACATTAAGTACTCTGACTTCAGACTTGTTCAAATAATGCCTCCCCCCATGTGATAATTCCCATGATTGTTATTCTTTTGAAATGTATAAATAATGGAATTTTAGGTATTTTTCCTTTCGGTTAAGAGAAGAATAACCAGTCACCAAAAGTGATAACCCTGAAAATATCATTGTATCAGTCATTATAATCTCTCCCTGGTGTATACCCTCAATTTCTTTGCTTTTCTCTCATGCCATTTACTTGCTTGTCAAAACTACAACCCTGTTTGAATGCAACTCTTTAGTCTGTATCTGCCTTGGTACAGGTGAATGTGGCTAAAGGAAAACATGTAATTACACTGAGTGATCTCACATAATTCTTGACTACATACCCCAAGTGGGCCCTTAATGTTACAAGTTCATAGTCCAATCATTCTCCCTAGATGACATTTCACACCTGTTTTCTCTCCTCAAACCATCATCACATCCTTTCTGACCTTCACTCTTAGATGTTGACTTGCTTTTTACTTTCCCGAGAAATATAAAATGATTAAAAGAGAATTTCTACAGACTCCCACCACCCCAGCTATCCACCTGCCAGCATCTTCATCCGCATACTCTGCCTCCCACATAATACTATTGATGAATTATCCGAAGTCAGCCTCCTACCTGTGCACTCCTACCCATCTCTTCACACACCTACTCAAAGACATATCTACCAATTATCCTTTTTTTCTTCCCTGTCTCATAATTTCTTTTGCTCTGTATCATCTGTTAGCATACAGCATTATTAATTTTCATATCTTAAAAAAAGAATTGTTAATATTGCTGCCACTGCAACTAAATGCCACAGAAAAGTTCTCTGTACTACCTCCCTCCAATCCTTCTCCTCTAATTCTCTCTTAAACCTACTCAGGTAAGTCATTTGCTTTCCCTCACTTCACTAAAATTACTTGAAGGCTATCAAATATCTCTACAATGCAAAATTTCATGGTCAACCTCAGTCTACATGTTATTTGGCCTATTAATCATCAACATTTGGCAGAGCTGCTAACTCTTTGGTATACTATTTTCTTTGGCTCCAAAACACCACACTCTTGATTTTCTTCGTACCTTACCACACTTTGGTTTTTACTTCTTCCCAGTCTTCTTTTCTGGTTTCTTCTCTTCTCTTTGATTTCTTTATGTTGAAGTGATGCAGGATTCAGTCCTTAGTCATATCCTGTCCCTTATTGATACTCATTTTCTTGGTACTATCTTCCAATTTTATAGCTTTAAATCTCCCAAATTTATATTTCATCTTGAACTTGAGAGTTATTTATCCAAATGCCTATTGTGTTCTCCTCTTGGTTGTCTTTTAGATATATAAAACTTAACATGTCCTAAAGTTTGAACTGAATTGTAGACTATTTTATTTCTGTACACATCTTTGTATTTCTATGAGGAAAGTCAATGTAATGCTTACTGAAGTAAATAAGAAACTGATCTTCTCTTAAATTCTATTCCATCAGCACCTTCCCTTCTTGATAGGACTAATTGCACACTTACAGTTGTACTCACTCCACAGTTACAATTGATGGAGCCAAACATTTTATTACTTTTTCTTATACCTGATTTCTAGTCTGCCATAAAACTTTGGCAGTGCCTCCTATATCTATCCAGAATAAAACAATTTCCTGCTATTACAACTGCTACCACTGCATTGCAGGCTGCCATCATAATACTTTTGGATTACTGAAATAGCCTCCAAACTGGTCTTGTTTCTACCTTTGGTCCCTAGAATCTGTTCTCAATAAATACCCAGTGTGACTCCAAGTTAAATCATACTCCTTCTTTCCTCAATACCCTGCACAAGATCATCATTTCACTGAGAATAAAATCCAGATACAATGGTTTATGAAGCCTACACAGTCTGTCCTCCCTTCACCTCTCAGGAGTCATCCCTTACCAGTTTCTTCATTGCTTACTCCTCTCCAACTCTATTGACCTGCTTGCTCCTTGTTCTTTAAACCCCATAGCCACTCTGCTGCCTTAAGACTGTCCCACTGGATATGCTTTCTGCATGAATATGCCCCAGTTATTGTCATGGATAACTCCCTGACTTCCTCACGTTTTTCTTTAATGACACTTTCTCACTGATTACTGCCTGATCAGTGTATTTATAATTGCCTCTCTCTTCTCTGAACACCCACCCTGTACCTCAACCTCCCTCTCACTCTGCTCTAAATTTTCACGTTTCCATAGCTTTTAATCCATCTAATACACAGTAGAATGAATTAATTTATTTGTTTACTGTTTGCCTTTCCTATTAGAATGTAAGCTCCACAGGCCTGATTTGTCCACTAGACTAATAGTGGTGGGGCCTAGAACCTGACACAAATTGCCTCTCATAAGAATTTATTTATTTATTTATTTAAAATATATTTTATTGATTTTGTACAGAGAGGAAGGGAGAGAGATACAGAGTTAGAAACATCGATGAGAGAGTCATCAATCAGCTGCCTCTTGCACACCCCCTTCTGGGGATATGCCTGCAATCAAGGTACATGCCCTTGACCGGAATCGAACCCGGGACCTTTCAGTCCCCAAGCCGTCGCTCTATCCATTGAGCCAAACCGGTTTCAGCTCATAAGAATTTATTGTTTGAATGGATAAATTGTATAATTTGAGTAGTCAAATATCTGCTCAACAATTGATTTGTTTTAAAACATCAAAATATGTGTTTCTGAACAAAAATATTTTCTGTATTATTTCTCAGAATATTCATTGATACTATTCATACACAGTTTTCTTTCAAATACATTTCCCCCACCCCCTTACTACAAAGGAACACTTCTTGAGGAAAGGGCTCTGTAGACTGGCAAATATTCTTCAATGTTTATCATTGCCTTCTTGGTGTATAGCCTTTTCCATTGTAAAACAATGAGTTAACTTGTCTACTAAAGGATACTTCCACAGAAGACTAATATCACTTGCTTTCTGAGACTTGTGAAAGCTAAGAAATGTATGTTTTCCTAGGTGGTTGAGGGTCATTCTTTTTTTTTTTTTAATTGATTTTTAGAAGGGGTGTGAGGGAGGGAGGGAGAGAGGAAGAAAGAGAAAGAGGAGAGAGAGAGAGAGAGAGAGAGAGAGAGAGAGAGAGAGAGAGAGAGAGAGAGAGAGAGAGAGAGAGAGAGAAATATGTGCACTTACTGTGGCTCTAACCTGTAATCTTCTTGCATCAGGAAGATAATCCAATCAACTGAGTCATTTGGCCAGAGCTGAGAGTTTCTCTGAAATCCCTTGACTAAAACATGCTAATTATTTACCTGTAAAGGCATTTCCTTTATTAGTTGACAGGAATCCTTCCTCTTATCTTTTCACTTCAGTTCATTGTATCTACTCATGTTTCTGGGAAATTGTAAAAATATTAAGCAACAAACTTTCTTATATTTTGTTCATGTCAAAACCTATTTTTCTCGTGTTTTAACCCCGTACTATTTTATCTAAATGTCCATTGTACATCAGATCCTTCAATAATTCACTTCACACTAAACATGAAGAAAATGTTTACATGTTTACATGATTTTGGAATGGCAGTCAAGTAAACATTTTAATTAAACCACTTAACATATTTTTTTTTTACAATTCTTTAGGCACTTTTGAATACATTGGTGTGATCTAAGATCATCAATATATTTTTACAATTTTCAAAAATCTCTATCACTGACAAAAGTAGGTGGAATACACCTATGGGAAAATAGCACTTGTATAAACCTCAGTTAATTTGTCATTGGCTCAATAGTCTTGGATCTCTATAGGAGTAAGAAAGGACCATATAATAAATCATTCTTAGAGTAGGAAGATAGCCAGAATCAAAGAGGAAAATACGGTTTAAAAATAGCTAATGATAATAGTTAATGTTTATTGAACAGTTGAACTATGCCAGGCATACTAACACCATATTAACACCACCTCACCCCAATGTACCCTGGCCCTGGTCTTTCTGTCCCCTTCTCTAACTTCAGAGCTTTATCTCTACCTGACATTGTAGGTTAATTATTTGTCTTCACTAATGGAATACTTTTTCTCGATCACCTTTGCATCCCTAGTATCCATAACCAAAAAGGACACTCACTAGGTACTCAATAAGTATTAGATGAAAGAATGAAAAAATGTCCAAAACCCATTTCATTCTCATGAGCACATTAATGGTGCAAAGCTTTAGGAATCTAGATAACTTGCAGCAAATAAGTAATGATGTCTGGGTCTTAGCTATTATGCATATTGTCTCAAGAGAAACATTTTGGTTTTGGTGTTTATAAGTAGCATCTGATATTTACAAACCAAAACACTTCCAACAGGAGAAGAGGAAGATTCCCGCTGTACCGAATGGAACAGCAGCTCATGGGGAAGCAGAGCCCCACGGGGGACACAGTGGACCTGAACTCCAGCGAACAGGAAGGTTAGCGAAAAGCACCTGTATGGGACTTCGAAGACCAAATGATGTACTGTACTTGTGTGTTAGGAATTGCTGCTTTGAGATCTCATTTTTAGAAATACTTTGAATATGAATTTTGTTTTGGGAGGGAGGGAAAAATGCCATTGAATTTTATTTCTCTGTAGTTACCAATGATTGCCATTACCATTAAGTCAGAACAGTGTTTGCATCATTCCATTTTAAGTTACCCAGTCTTTCATTTTGCTGTGTATAAAATGCATTCACAGATTCTTAGAATGAATAAGAAAACTGTCAGTTGCCCCTTCCAAAAGAACCCGTTGAAAGCTTCAAGTTTACGATAGAAATAAAAATAAATACCAAGAGAACAGTCTTGTAGACTATATCTCATTACATGCAAGTAGGATGTATATAATAGCATTTTTTACTTTTGCAGTCATAATTTGAAAGAGCTATATGATTTATTTTTCTAATCACACATTTTTGACGAGATGAAAGCTTCAATTTATTTCTTAAAATGGTTCTTTATGGTTTTTTGACAGCTTGTCTTTCTCCAAGCAATGTGTGAGCAGAAAATCAGAAACCCTTGGGTGGGTCTCTCTTCAGAGAATATGTGTGCACAGCCTCCATTATAATTGAAGGCAACTGCAAAGGCTTTGCAGGATTGGTGCTCCCTTCCCCTCAAGGCCATTTCCTGAACTGCTTCCACTGTGTTTTCTAAGCTGACTTCCCAGTTTCTACAACTCTGTGCATTTTAATTCTCCTCTGTTCTTTCCCTTGATCTCTGTTTGTCTCTGAGGAAATGTGCTTTAATGTCTTCCTCATACATAAGAAAGGTTCAAACAATTCTTTCCTTTTCCCTTTACTGGAAGCATTGTTACTCCTTCTGCTTTCTTTCATATTTTCAAATGCTGCCTTTTTATTTCTGGTGGTTATATATTTTCCCTCTCAGGTATAATGTGCCACATAGCTTAGACTTTTTCAGAGTTCACCTTTCCTTACTGCTTCCTAAATCCTCCCAGGTCACCCATATCCGGTGTCTTCGCTTCTCCAGTGTTCTTCCACAGATTCTGTTGCTGACATGGCTTGAAGTACCCATTACTCATCTGCTCGCCTGGAGTTGCTGGTGTCCATCTGGGCTGCTCTTGCACTGTTCTCTGTAATGACCTCCCACTTCCGGATATAGATTCTAGCTGCTAAAAGCACATTTATTACACAGTAATATAAGAGCTATTTGGACTAATGTATGCTCTAATAAATACAATGGTCTAATAGAAAGTACTATCAACCTATAAATATTAACTACTAATTAATATTTCATAACCACCTCAAGTTCTTTTGGGGATTAGGTGGGACAGAAATGATAAATGAATGAACAGACTAATAAATTAAATCTACTTTGAATTGTGACTTTGACAAGTTACCAAATCATTCAGAAATGACCCACCCAAATAAAAATAATATATATTTGCTTTACAAAACACAGGTAAAGGAACCTGAAAGGATTTTTGTGTCTGTGGACTTCACAGGTTCTCTACAGGAGTTTCTGAGTTTCAAATGTTCCTTTTATTTTCAATTTAAAATTTACCCTCTCAGCATCTCCTACTCCATATCCCTCTGATGGAAGTAATCACTGGGAAAACATAGTGATTCTATCACTCACATAATAGTGATAAAGTTATTTAATATATTACTATTGAGTGCATGTCAGGGAGATTAAAAATAATACTCAAAATCTTCAGTTATACTGAAGATGTACATTTTTTAAGGCAAAGTAACTTTATTTCTCTATTACACAGTCATTTTTGAGGTTATTATTAGATTGCAAATGAATATTCCTATTTAGAAGATAATATCGATAGAAGTTTAATATTTTCTCATAATTTAAGTGTATTCAGCATACTGACAATAGATTGGAACAATGTAATAGGTATTTTTTTTAACCTCCATGTAGGAACTTAACCATAGTCTTATTAATTTTAATACGGTATCTTTATTCCATGGAGCACAAAGAAGTTTCAGTAGTCAAGTGTGAAGTCTGCATGTGATTACTAAATGTTCAAACTATGAGAATACCTGCTCATTAGTATTCTATTCCTAAGAGATCAAAAACATTTAATCTTCAAATTAGGGAACATGTCACAATTTAATACTATCTCCCCCTACCCTCCAAGGCTCTTTCAAGTGTTTCAGTTTGGCTTCGAATATATTTTTAAAAATGAATTTATACCAAGTAAGGTTATTACCGTCTTGTGAATGACAGAAATTGGAATATATCTAGGCAATAAGGGGTTCACCTTTATGGTCATGAGTTCCTTCTTCTAGTTGCTTTTGCCTAACAGTGAAAACAGCTGTGGAAACTACCTGTCTCATTCAAAGGCCATTTGGATGGTTGCCTGGAACAACATCTGGGGAGGGTGCTATGTGTGTGTTTGGCAGAGAGAGTAGCTAACTAGTTCACCCTCCTGCAGGCATTTTCTGCTAGCTAAACAAAATGCAAACAATCAGAAAATACTTCCAACAATTCCAAGTCGCAGCCCTGAGATTAAGAATAGGTTGATGTAGAAATGGCACAGAAATATTTGGAGTAATTCTAAATCTCATTATTTGAAATTGGACTGATGAACAGCTCTGAATCTTTGTTTGTTTATTTATTTTTTTGGCTGTTGATACAGTATTTGGCTAGGAATTGAGCAAACCTAATGGTGCAAAGCCATCCCTGTAGATCATGATAATGCAATGTAGCAGGTTCATGTTGAGTCTCATCTCAGCTGATGGAAAACCTATACTGGGATCTGGACATTTTGCTTTGTATGTCTTTTATATTTGTATTTCACTGTTGTGTTTCTTCCCCCTGTCTTAGGATTTTTGGGGGACTTATTTTAGATATCAAAAGAAAAGCTCCATACTTCTGGAGTGACTTCAGAGATGCGTTCAGCCTGCAGTGCTTAGCATCTTTTCTGTTTCTCTACTGCGCGTGTATGTCTCCTGTCATCACATTTGGAGGACTGCTGGGAGAAGCCACCGAAGGTCGTATAGTACGTATCGTGCTTTTCTCTGAACTTTGATACTAATCCATTTTTAAGATTCCAGTTAGATAAGTAAGTGTTTAATTTTGGATCCCTTTATGAGGAGATATTTGATGGCAGATGACTTTATATGAATTTCCTGGATGATAGTGAAACTGGTAATCTGGGAATGGGAATATCTCAAAACAATTACTTCTGAGTTTCACACAAGCTTCTGATCACAACCCTGGACCCCTCCTAGGCTAGTTTTAGGCTGTGGTTCTTCCCTCACAAGAGATCCATTCCCATATTTACAAGCCAGGCTTCTGTCCATTCACATGCCACAAAGTATGTAAACTTTTATTTATTTATTTTATTGATTTTTTACAGAGAGGAAGTGAGAGAGATAGAGAGCTAGAAACGTCGATGAGAGAGTAACATCGACCAGCTGCCTCTTGCACACTCCCTACTGGGGATGTGCCCGCAACCAAGGTACATGCCCTTGACCGGAATTGAACCTGGGACCTTTCAGTCCGCAGACCGACGCTCTACCACTGAGCCAAACTAGCTTCGGCCAAAGTATATAAACTTTTAGTGAGCAAAAGAAAAGCAAGGTAAGGAAGGTGGAGAAGACATATCCCTACTCACTACCATTTATTTTTGGCCGACTGCCTGCATCTTATTTTTATTCTCCTATCCCACATCTTGCCCAAGGTTGCTAGGATTTTCATTTCAAAGGAAAAATGATATGCTCTTGTATTTTAAACTTTTCTCCCCAGTTATAATGGGTACCTGTGTAGCTTTGATAATGAAATAATTTATATTTCTACACAGAGTGCAATCGAATCTCTCTTTGGAGCATCCATGACTGGAATAGCCTACTCTCTCTTTGGTGGACAGCCACTTACCATATTAGGCAGTACAGGACCAGTGTTGGTGTTTGAAAAGATTTTGTTTAAATTTTGCAAGTAAGTATTATATATGTTTGGCTCTTAGCCCCTTTCTATTTCTCTACTGTGTGTATTCTTCTCCCAACATCACGTTTAGAAGTCTTATGGGAGAGGTGGAAGTAGCTGATTTGATTCAGTGTGCCATTTTTGCCTCTCCGTAAAAATAAAGGAAAACAAAAACGATTTGTGCATAATGTTTTGTGATGTTTGTAAAAAATTATATTCAGTTCTCTACCGAGAGCTCCTGTTCGTTTTATCCTCTTAGTGTTCCCTTTAGACAAAGTCTTGAGTTTGGATACTCATGGGATATGAGGCTATTTATTTTCACATCATGAATTGGACTTATTTCCATCTGTTTAAAATAGTGGCAGGCTGTAAAATGACCTTCTTTCTGCTATTCCTTTTCTCCTCCTAGAGAATATGAGCTGTCATACCTCTCTTTAAGAGCCAGCATTGGACTTTGGACTGCAACACTCTGCATCATACTCGTGGCCACGGATGCAAGCTCCCTTGTTTGCTATATCACCCGGTTTACTGAGGAAGCTTTTGCTTCTCTTATTTGCATCATTTTCATTTATGAAGCCCTAGAGAAGTTGTTTGAACTCAGTGAGGCATATCCAATCAACATGCATAATGATTTGGAACTGCTAACACAATACTCGTAAGTACTATTTCCCCTGTTGGCTGCGGGGCTTTCCTTTTAACAAACATTGCTATTGTTATAAGGAATGTGAGGAACTTACTCAGCAGATAAAGTGCCTTAAATTGATTCATGACCTAAATCCTGCACTCTCAAAGTGGAACAGGATTTTAAAAGTCATCTAATGAGCCACTCATCAGGTACTTATGGTCTCAATAAAACAACTCTGCCTAGAAAACCTTTTTTGGAGTTTTATTTGTCAGGAATGCCCTATTAAGTAGTGAACCAAGGTCAATTTTGATATGTAGGCATTTTGTTTTTGAAAACACATAAGATTTTTGTTTTTCTTTACAGCCTTTTCAATTTACTATAATTCAAAGGAAACTGAAAATATAAGATTTCAGATTTAGAGCAATATGGTAAAAGAGATTCTATTGGGTCAATTAAAAGATAAACAAAAATCATTGAATTGATATATAATATTGCTTTTGCAACATTTCTGATAGAAGTACTCAGATATTGCTTTTTGAAGTTAATATACAGTTTAGAGTTAAGATAGGATTGGACCTATTGATCTTTCTAGTTTTAGTCGGCCAGTAGTTTAGAATTTCTCTAAGGCTATGTTTATATACTGTATGTGGACATGATATTTGCCCTTTCTTGTTCTTAATTTGAATATTTTTGTTGACTTTGTTTATACATTTTTATATAGCAAGCATTTGAAGCAATAAGTTTTTATGGGGCAGTTATATCCTCTGCATCAACCACCAGTGCTCTGATTAACTGCTTAGATATGGCCTCAAATGTTTTATAGATTTATTACCTTTGTTATTAGAATAATTTGAAATTAGATAAAAATAGTGCAATGTATAATTTTGTAAAGAAAGAAGTAGTGATAGGGCTAAAAAATAACATGATTTTTATTTATTTAGTAATTTTTAAAATTAGAATTTATATTCAATATTTTCTATTAGTTTCAATTTTACAGCACACTGGTTAGACAATCATATAGTTTACAAAGTAATTCCCTCAATATTTCAAGTACCTAACTGGCACCATATGTAGTTATTATAATATTATTGACTATATTCCCCATGCTGTGCTTCACGTTCCTGTGATGTTTTTGTAATTATTAATTTTTAATTCTTAATCCCTTTACCTTTTCACCCAGACCCCAATCCTCATTGTCTCTGGCACTATCAATCTGTTTTCCATATCAATGTGTGTGTTTATATTTTGTTTTTTCATTTATTATGTTCTTTAGATTTCACATATAAGTGAAATTATATGATATTTGTCTTTCTCTGTCTGACTTATTTTACTTAGCATAATACCCTCTATGCTATCACAAAAGGTAAGACGTCATTATTCTTTATGTCCAAGTAATATTCCATTGTATATATGTACCACCATTTTTTTTATCCACATATTTATTAATGGGCACGGGTAATTTTCATATTTTTGCTATTGAAAATAATGCTGCAATGAACATAGGGGTGCATATATGCTTTTGAATTTGTGTTTCGGGTTTCTTTGGATAAATTTCCAGAAGTGAAATTGCTGAGTCAGAAGGCAGTACAATTTTTGAATTTTTTGAACCTCCATACTACTTTCCACCAATCTGCACTCCCACCAATCATGCACAAGGGTTCCTTTTCCTCTACATTCTCACCAACACTTGTTTGTTGATTTATTGATGGTTACCATTCTGACAGGTGTGAGGTGATATTCATTGTGGTTTTAATTTGTATTTCTTTGATGATTAGTGACATTGAGCATTTTTTCATATGTCTATTGGCCATCTGTATCGACACTTTGTATAAGTGTCTATTCAAATCTTCTGGCCATTTTTTAATTGAAGTGTGTTATTTTTTTTATTTTTTAGCTGTTGCGTTGTATGTGTTTTTTATGAATTTTGGATATTAATCCCTTATTGGATATATCATTGGTGAATATCTTCCCTTGTTCAGCAGATTATCTTTTTTTTATGGTTTTCTTTGCTGTGCAAAAGCTCTTTAGTTTGATGTACCTCCATTTGTTTATATTTTCTTTTGTTTCCCTTACTTCAGGAGATATATCAGAAAAAATATTGCTAGAGAAATGTCTAACATTTTACTGTCTATGTTTTCTTTTAGGGTTTTTATGGTTTTGAGCCCAGCATTTAAGTCTTCAATCCATTTTTAGTTTATTCTTGTGTGTCATGTATGATGTGGTCTACTTTCATTTTTTGGCACATATCTGTGTAATTTCCCAACATTATTTATTGAATAAGGTGTGTTTTTTTTTTTTACCCCATTGTATGTTCTTACCTTCTTTGTTATATATTAATTGATCATGTAGGTGTGGGTTTATTTCTTTATTCTGTCCCTTTGATCTATTTGTCTATTTTTATGCCAGTACCAGGCTGTTTTGATTGTTATAGCCTTGCAGTATAGTTTGATATTGGATAGTTTGTGGTACCTCCAAATTTGTTCTTCTTTCTTTAGTTTCTGTGGCTATTTGGGGTCTTTATTGGTTTCTTATACATGTAGGTTTTTGTTGTTGTTGTTGAGTATGATGTTAGCTGCGTGTTTGTCTCATATATATATATGTCTTTTATTATGTTGAAATATGTTCCCTCTATTTCTACTTTGTTGAAAGTTTTTATCATAAATGGGTGCTGCTGGATTTTGTCAAATGCTTTTTATGCATCTTTTGATATGATCGTGTGACTTTCATCTTTCCTTTTGGAAAATAACGTGATTTTTAGTACTTTACTTCTTCACAGATAGCTTTAAACAGTATACTTCTGTTTTTTGGACAAAAAAACAAGAGTGGAAACAAAATAACTTTTCTATTAAAAGCAAATAGTGAGAGTGTTATAAATAGGTTTCAAAAATGAATGAAGGAGGTGTCAGGGACACTCTGAAAGCAGGCAGATAGAAAGAGCAGTTTGATTAGAGTGAGTGATAACAGTGATACTTGCCTTTTTATTTATCTTCTGTTTCAAAAAGAGCAGTGCCCCCTAATTTGGATATTTTTGCTAGGGTATATATTCATCTCTTCAAATCTACCACTTGCTAGATGCTATGCTAGGTGCTAATGAAATCATGAATAATATTCTGTTCTCAATGAGCTTCCAGTTTAATATGGGAAAGCAGACAAACAGACATCACTTAGATTTCCTTAAAGTCATAGTTTTACAAACCAAATAATAGAATGTCTTTGGTTTTGTTAAGACACTCACAGTATCTCTGGCATCCTAATCTTATAATGCGGTAATGATATGTAGATCTTCTATTCAAAGCTATGAACTTTTCTTTCATTGTGCCAAGAGCAAGTGTCAAGATAATCAATTTAATTTCAAGAACATATACATTACACCAGATGATCAAGCTGAATTTGTCAAGTTAGCAATAAGTAATGAGTTTGTGGAAATAACTTCTTCTAGGTTGCCTTGATTTTTAAAAATGGCAAAAATAGAATAAATCACTCTGCTTATGAAAGATGAGATGTTTCTTCAAATATATTGTAATAATCTAAAGCTCTCAAAGATGGCTAACTAAGGAAAGATTTGGGGCTGTATTAACTCTTTTTAGTTGGTTGAATCAAAGCAAAGAGCAGGGTCTATTACTCTAATTTATTAACATACAGGAGTTGAATAATTACAGGGCTATCAGAAAGTATGATATCATTGCTAGGTTTTGGGAAGGATTTATTTTGAATTTTGATCTTTTTCCTATTTTTTTATTGTTGTTTTTTTTCCAGCCCACAGCACTCTATAAAACCCTGTTTGTTAAATAATAAATGTAAAGTACATAAACTGAATACCTTACATTATCACAAACTAAATTTTTAAACAGAAAATATGATAAACTAACAACTTGGATAGTTCTACATATATCGAGTAAAAATTGTGTTCAAATAAGTTAACATACAATATTATAAGTACCAATTATTACTCATAATTTTTTTTCATTTACATGGGTTTTAAGGGTATAAAAATCCAGTGGAACTTTTGGAAGAACATTTTATTATGAATATTTGATTTTAAAAAACTCATTTACCTATTTAAATTTTGTCTGCTTTCCCCCCCTGAAATCATATGTATCAGTGGTTGAGAAACAGTGCTTTAAATACATCTTAAATTTTTAGCAGTTGGAAGAACTATTAAGAAGCTGGAAGATCCTACCATTTTAGGCAAAGATGAGGGATACCATTTTTTCAGTTGCACAGGCTGACATATGTTTTAAACAAACATTTATTGGTAAACATTTCCTGCTTTCATAATTGAAAAAATATATACCATGGGTGCTTCATTCTTTTAGATATAAAATAAAACTTTTGATAGAAATAAAGTTAGCCTTCTATGAATCGTTATCTCTGAGAATGTTCATCACATCTCAACAAATTGAAATACTGTGCATTTGATATACAAACACAACACCTGTGGCCATTTAATGCATCTTAATGAAGAAATCACTAATACCTGTTTAGTACTCTCCCTTTAATATGGATGTTTGTGCAAATTTTTGCCCTTTCATAGCTATTTGACAAGAAAGTATGGAGGATAAACCTATTTCAGGTTTGCAAATCTGTAAAGAGAAAGAAAATAGTAGATGGAGCAGATCTGAGAAGTAACATTGTTAAAAGGCACTTAACAAAGGCTTACTGGTATTTACCAACCCCCTGGCTCTGTGGAGGCAGAAAGATGAAGAGACATTAATCTTGCACACAAAGGCTCATAACCTACTAGGAATAGTGAGGACAAAACAAACAAATAATAAACTGATACTGAATATTATGGCTACTGGAGGTAAGACTATCATTAAAACTAGAATTTAGTTCAAAAGCAGAAAGGGAAAACAAAGATAGCAAGTGTTTGGATTAAGAATGAACAATAAGATGGGTTTCCAGAAATTTATTGAATAATTATTTTTTGAGTGCCTATTAATGTTTATTGGATTCTTAAGATGTCAGATTTTTAATAGAGAAAAAAACTCTATATTAAATGTGAATTGTAAGAAGCATTTCAGAAACGT